CCTTCTTCCATAGTTTCTTGAAGCCGTGCTACTATAACGGTTTCACTTCTACCGGGTACCACCGTATCCTCCTGTACAGCAACTGGCACGTTACTGTCCCCATATGGATGTAGGAATACCTCTTCGGCACCAACTTTGATCACTCTGTTTTTAAAGTCCAACTGGAAACCATGTAAGTTCATTACATCCATTCCAAGAATAACATCTTCTTCGATATCAGCGACAATAACAGTGTGAGTGAACTTTTGTGTACCAATTCCCAATTGAACCTGGATTTCCCCATGGATGTTGGCATTTTCACCTGTGGCAGTCCGTAGTCGCAATCTTGTTGGTAGAAGTTCCTTACGGTTATTTATAGTTGTTGGTCGTATAATAGTCCTAGTTGCTCCAGTATCCACCAACAGTGTATAGTTTTTGCCATTTACTTCGCCGTCTACGTATACACTATCATCGCGACATTTCAAAGAGGCTATCAGTATGAGAGGGTCTTTGGAACGGTTTTGGGTCGAAGCTGCCCCCTCTAGGCCGACCCGCTCTAGTTTTCCTGCGACGTGTTGTCTTGATTTGTTGGGAACCTAGGGCGTTTGCACGAACTGCGTACATGTCCCAGTTCACCGCAATTCCAGCACCTTATAGTCTTCGTCTTTATCTTTCTGTCAGTAAGGCTCTTCATCATATTCACCAGTTGATCGAGTTTACCTTCCTCTTCTTCTTCTTTTAAGGTCCTTACTTTATTGTATCCACCAGAGGCCTGTATAGCCGCCTCATATTCAAGGGCAGCGGACAAGACATCGACCAATGTTTTGTGACGGGCTAGACGAAGTGTTTTTTGCATCTCGTGGTCACGGAGTCCATCAACAAATGTTTGGACTGCCAAACATTCCATCATGTTTTCCGGAGCTGATGGATAGGCAAATCGCACCAACCTGGCAATATCTACTTCATATTCCTGAAGAGTCTCGTCTCGTTTCTGTTTACGATTCTTTAACTGTGACTGGTACAAATGCTCCAAGTGTTCGTGGCCATATCGCATATTCAGTCTCTTTTTGAGTTGTTCAAAATCATCTGTTTCTTCCACGGGTATAGTCTGGAGGACATCTAAAGCGTCTCCTCGAAGGGCGATGGTCAAATTTATTGCCTTCTCTCGTTCAGACCACTCGTTTGCTCTGGCAGCTGTTTCGAACTGCTTAAGGTAGTTCGTCCATGACATCTTTCCGTCGAAAGTTGGGGTCTTAACACGAGGAGAGTTTACAGCTCCTTCCAATTTCACGTTCGACTCCACCTCATGGCACTTTGTTTCACTGTCCTTGACTGGTTCTGTATGTTCGAGTTCTTCTATCTTCTTTTCCATCTCTCTTATTTTCTTCTCTACAGAAGACATCTTGTTTTCCACATCAGCAGAGATTTCGATTTTTAAAGAAGACATTTCGGAAGACACCCTTTCTTCTAAGGAAGAAATATTAGACGAAAATTTATTTTCCATAGAAGACATTTTGTTTTCCAAGTCGGAAGAAATTTCATCTTTTAAAGAAGATATGTCAGAAGACACCTTTTCTTCTAAGGAGGTAATATCGGACGAAACTTTACTTTCTAAGGAAGTAATGTCAGAAGAAACTTTACTTTCTATGGAGGAAATGTCATTTTTTATAGAAGAAACATCAGCAGTAATTTCAGTTTTCATAGAAGATATTTCGGTTTTCATATCGGAAGAAATTGAAGAAATTATAGAAGAAGCATCATCCGAAAATAGAAATGTTTCCGAATCCAAACCTTCACTTTCCAGTGCTTCCTTAAGACATTCTGCCAGATCTGCTTTCTTCCCTTTCGTCTCCAACTCGCGATCTTCTAACTCCCGACGTAGCTCGGTCACTTTTAAATCACACAGTCTTTTAGCCATTATTGTCCACTATTTATTTACACTATTCCACTTCTTAACACCAATGTGATGTTTGTTTATTTTCAAACAACAGTTTATTTATTAATAATTTATTTAAACACTTATTTATTTTAAACAAAAATATTTTAATTTATATATACTTCGAATGTCTTTAAACTGATCACTATTTATATTTACCACTGTCTATCTACTAATTACTATTTATCTGCACTGTCCATATAACAACTGATTATGATGGCTCGCCTCCACCAATTTATATACAAAATTGGTGGCCTAGAATGCTCCCCCACCAAAATTGCCAGTATGTACCAGAAACGCTATCACGTTCTAAAAATAGTATCTCGTTGACCCTGGAATGTTCGCGAAAGTGTCTCCACCATAGTCGTCCCATAGGTTTGGTCTTAAGGGGTTCAATTATGTATAATAAGCGGACAAGTTGAGCCTCAAAGGCCAAATAATACAGAGAGGGACTTGGAGTATTAGAGCATGACTAAATAATGAAATGGCTCACATTACAATACTTACGATTATCTGCTTCAATATTGGGAAGGGGGTCAATTATGTAACTATTGTTCTGATTACGTTTATTCTGTTTTCTATGAAGCATTTTATCTATTAAGTTCTGATCATAATTGTGACTATTAGCAATTTGTTTGATAACATTGAGTTCTTTATTAAAGTTATCTACTGATAGAGGTACTTTCAGAAGACGTTCCAAGTAACAATTAAAAGCTGCTAACTTATGTGTAACTGGGTGATTGAATAAATTATCAATAACAACCCCTGTGTAAGTAGGTTTTCTAAATATGTTAAATTCCAACTTAAGATCTGTACAATGGGATATAGTTAAATCAAGGAAGTTGATAGATTTGTTGTTTTCTATCTCTAATGTAAATTTGATGTTACTATGTATGGTGTTTATATAATTTAGGAAGTTATTTAACTTATCCAGATCACCAGTCCATAGTATCAGTATGTCATCAACATATCTATGATAGAATTTAATAGCTGAGCAAAAAGGATTGTTGTTTAATATATTGTTATTCTCAAAATTATGCATAAAGATGTCTGCAAGTATAGGAGATAAAGGCGAACCCATAGCTAATCCTGTTGTCTGTGTAAAAATTTCATTATTAAAGAGGAAGAAGTTTTGTTCAAGACTAATTGTTAATAAGTTCATAAGTTCCAACATTTCTACATCTGGTAAGGTAGATAAAGACAAGTAAGATTTGATGTATTCTAAAACCTCTGGGATAGGTACATTAGTAAAAAGATTTGATACATCTAACGAAACTAAGTAATCTGTGTCAGTGACATGAACATCTTTGATTTTTTCTATCAATTGCACACTGTTCTTTACTGTATGAACAAAATAATCCTTGTAGTGTTCTTTAAGAATATCATTAAGCCATTTTGAGGTGTAATATGTTGGGGAATTGACGAAGGACACCACAGGCCTTATTGGCATTTCATCATAAACATCCGACTTATGTATTTTTAAGAGACCGTATAATCGAGGAATAAGTTTATGATCTGGTTTGAATTTATTGAAAAGAGTAGGAGTTATCAAACACTTACTATTCTTAAGAACGTTCTTAAATTTAGTGTTAAATTTATTTAGTGGGTTATTGATAGTTGTAAAATCGTTAGTATTTAAGAAGTTGTAAACTTTAGAAAGATAATCAAATCTGTCCATTACAATGAGACAATTACCTTTGTCAGCTTTGGTTAATATTAAATCGTTGTTTTTGATTTTTATAGAGATGCTTTTAATTAATTTATCATTGTAAGAACCTGAGGTCAAAGTATTGTTAGGCAAATTAATATTTTCTTTTTCTTTTTTAAGCAAATTGATTACATCATTTCTAAGCAAGTCTTTATTAGCTAAATCAAAGTTTTGTAAAATTGATTCTGTTTCAACCGCTAATAGTTCTAAATTGTTTTTATAAGAATTATTGTTTTTAATTAAAGGATTGAACTTAATACCCTTTTTAAGTAACTCAACTTCTTCAACAGTAAAAACACAATCAGAATAATTTATGAGAGGTGTATGGAAATTAACAAAATGGTCATGTATGGACTGTGATTGATTATGTTTAATAGTCTTAAGAGCTTGTAACTTCTTGTTTAGTGTTCTCATCTTATTAGTGTGTTGGAAATTAATTAAAGTATCTAAGTCATGTAAAAAGTTATTCAACACTATAAAGAGCCATACCTCTTTCAGTAAATCGTACATAGATTTTAACCTTATATCCAAATAGTACAATTTCCTGTATTGTAATCTGATTTCATCCTTCAGCATTAGTGACTTCAATCTGGAAAGGCATCTTCTACTACCAGGGGTGATCTGCTCCCTATTAATCTTGATAGTTAAAAATCTAGGTGTCAAATTTTCTTGTAGGCAACGGTTAATGAAGTAAATATTACAGTTGACTTTCATTCTCTTAATAGCAAACGATCTGTAGCTACTGGCTAAAGTTGCTGGACTGGCAGTATGATTTGGAGTGAGGGTAGCCATATGTGAGTAGTAGGGATTAAGTGTAAGGGTTAAAGAAAAGGTCCTTTATTTCTCACAAGTCAATTTAATTGGCGACCGGTTTCGAAGCTGTCACTTCATCATCAGGCACACCTAAATGGAATGTCAAGGAGTCAGTTGTAATAAAAAAAAACAATTATAAAAGCATGAACGGACTTTAATATACTACTTTATGTTATCTATTCATTTGTTTATCTGAGCAATCTCATACTCGGCCGAAGTTGACATTGATCTTTGTTCTACGTAAGATGGAATTTTTAAAATAATTTTATTTTCGTTTTTGATCTTTGAAACTGATACAAGATGACATATAAATTCACTAAACAACTTGTGTATTATCTCTGTATCAGAGTCTTTGTAAATGAAGTGGCCCTATATTTAGGAAATAAATAAAAAATGCTTAATCATATATATCGAAGATGAGTGCATAATTATCTAAAACAATTAATCTTAACAACGCATTTACGATTTTTTGTTAGATAACGAAAAAAGTAATTGAAATTTTAGGTATATATATATAATAATTATTCGATATATAATAATTATTTTGAATTCATTTTTATCAAAATGAAATCCTTCTTAGCAATCTCGTGCGTTTTTATTTGTTTCACAACAATTTTTGCATTTCCGAAAAATGGTAAGTTAATTAAATAAACCATTGATGTTTGAAAATATTGTATATACTTTTTTATTTTTTGCAGACACACAACTTCGGTCTCACACATTTAAACTAGGTGAAAAATCGTATTTAATAGATTTTCATGAAGTAAGTATATTTTTTGTAGAGTTATGAGTGAGTGTAGTTTTAATTTCTATTCATAAAAATAATGAGAAATTAAATCTCGAATCGAAAATGATTTTTTTAAACTTTTATTTTACTTAAATACAAGAAATATAGATCTATCTATCTGAATTAGGGCGTGGTTCAAAGCCCACTTGTACTGAAGCTCTAGGCTTATTGTACCCCTCACAGTTTCTATCCCATCAGATTGATTTTCTTGATGAATTCAAGAATAAGTCTGGTGGGCGCTTTCGCGATTTCTTCAGGTTCCGGATATTTTACCCCGAAGTCCCATTCCCGTTCCCATTTAAGGTTCCAACAGTGGCATAGTATGTGAATAGGAGTTTCGTCCTCCTCTTCACATATTCTACATAGGGAGTCATCAGATATCCCTAAGAGATTTAGGTGTCTTCTAAGGCCGCAGTGTCCCGTGAGGAGTCCTATTACGGCCTTGAGTTCGCTTCTGCTAAGGTTTAGCAGTTGATGTTGTCTGCTCGTGGATGGCCCCTCTATGAATCTTTTGGACTGTCTAAGTCCAGGAAGTTCCATCCAGAGCCTATGGTGTTCTCTTTTTATTTGTTCCTTTAACACCCATTTAACGTGTTGGTATGAGATATCACACGTGGATTCTGGTCCAATAAGGGTTTTTTCCGCTCCCTTCCTTGCTAGGAGGTCTGCTTTCTCATTTCCAAACACTCCCTCATGTCCTGGCACCCATTCAAGGGTGACCTTGTTATGTTCTGCCAGGGTCTGGAGGGACTGTTGGCAATCAAATATTGATTTAGATTGTACTTCTGTTATTTTATTTTTTATCTACTAAAGATGTAATTCTATGAAAAATTTCTTTAAACAAAACTTATTTGTTTTTTTACATACAACAAGATTACGAAATAAAAAAATCTATATTTCCATTTAAAAAACGAGAGTTAACCTTGAAAAAACCTTCAAAAAGTTGTCATTACATCTCCCCCGTAACGCCTAACAACTTTTATTTAAACTTTTTTTTTTTTTGAAAAACTTACCGTTTCTGAGATATCGCGCAGTCTCAAGTTAAATGGACCACCCTGTATATTATTCTCTATTATTTGATTCAAAAAATGATTACCTGAGTAAAGTAAATCTTTTGGAAGTTGCGTTTTCAGCTTTTTTCCTTTTTGTCCCTTTTTTCAATTTTTTCCTAAGGCTTCTCCCTTTACATTATTTTTATATTTTGTCATAAAAGCCTTTTATGTGGTCCTTATGACAGAGTAAATTAAATTAAAACCATTTGTTATTTGAATCCGAGAATACCGATCAAGGAGAAGCGACAGCTTGGTGTTTTCAGTGTACCGTTTTGTAACGCGCATGTGCGAAAATAAGTTGTGTATCACTCAAAATTATGTTATCTGTCAAAGTCAGTCCAAGTTGTGTTTAGTACGTGAGCAATGTTAAATGCCAAAAAAGTTATTAGGAAACTAAGAATTTTATCACATGCATAAATATTAAGTATAATGATTTAATCATTTTTGACATTTTATTTTTCATATGTAGGTATTGTATTTTGTGAAATATACAGGGTGTCCCGAAATTAGATGGTCATATTTTAACAGCGTAATCTAAATCCTAAAATAGGAGTAAAAGTTCATATAAACATAGGTCCGAAAACGGTTCTTTTCCGAGATACAGGGTGTTTAAAGTGAAGTCCTGATGACACATTTTTGTAAATATGTATTTTCTAAACGCTTAAAGATAACTAAATTAAATTTAGTAAAAATGCTTACCTTTTTACGCTCTATGTAATGGACTTAATCTTAGTTTTTGATCATCTTCATAGATGGGTAAATTAGGGGGGGGGGGGGGCTTAAGGTAAAATTGCCCTAAGTTTTTTTGTTGTCAGTTTTTAACATTTTTGACTAAAAAATTTGGAAACCCAATGTTTTCTTTACAATAAAGCTACTCTTGTTGCATCTCGCTAGGACGCACCATTTTTAAGAAAAAAGCATTTAAAAATTAAATTTAAGTTCATATTATTTTATTCGAAAGTGCAAACAATAATTAGCAGGCCTGTGGAATCAGAATTTTTTTTCAGGTTTGGAAAACCGGTGACTAAAGAAATGTATTTAGCTTTAATTTAATGTTTATTTTATAAAATAACTTTAAATGGTAAAACTAAATAGTATTCAAATGCTATTTGATAATAATTTTAAGCTTTTTAACGTGAAGTATTATTGAAGTATATACTTTTATTTTCCTAAGGATGACTTAAAATAGGTCAAAATGACGACGATAAACAAAAGATTCTCAAAAATTGTTTTTGTCTATACTACTAAAAATTCTACTAAAAATAACAAAAATTCTATAAAAAATAACCAAAATTCTACTAAAAAAATCAATTTATACAACATTTAAAGTAAGTGTTCAAAAACGTTGCCTTGCTGACGAAGGCACATTTCGGCTCTACGGGTAATTGCATGTGAAGCTCGCATTACTTCAAAATTATTTTGCCGTATTTCATTCCCTGCCAAACGTATCCTTTCACGCAACTCTTCCGCACTGTCAACTTCTGTAGCGTATACCATATCTTTTATACGACCCCAAAAGTAATAATCTAATGGATTTAAATCTGGAAATCGAGGTGGCCACGGTATGGGACCACCTCTTCCTATCCATCTACCCGGAAATCTTTCATTTAGCCAATTTCTCACATTAACGCCATAATGGGCTGGCGCTCCGTCGTGCTGAAAGTGCAGCTGATGTCGAATATTTAATGGGAGATTATCCAGAATGGGTTCAAGATGGGTTTGTAAAAAATTCAGATACTCAATTGCATTTAACCGAGCAGGAATTTCAATCGGCCCAATTAATCTGTCATTGATTATTGCCGCCCGAGGATTTTCTTGTGAATAAAAATGGTGATTGTGAATATTAAAAACACCATCTCTGTTAAATGTAGCCTCGTCGCTCCACATAATAAAAAGAAGCAGTTCCTGATGGTTTCTTATCCATTCACTAAACTCCATTCGTGGTAAAAAGTCGTGGGGTCTTAAGGCTTGAACACGCTGATAATGATAGGGATGAATACCCTGCATTCTTAACATTCTTCCAACCTAAATGAACATATTTTTTAAAAGACACGTAAACTAAAGTAAGAATTTAAAAATGCCTTTAATCTGAAACTTGTTTGTGTTATTTTTAACCGACTTTAAAAAAGGAGGAGGTTCTCAATTCGTCGCGTAATTTTTTTAATGTATGTTCAGCGATAATTCTTTAACACGGTGTCCGATTTCAATGATTTTTTTTTATAGAAAGGGGGTACTACAGGAGTGGTCCCATATAAATTTGATCAAAATCTAATAATTGGGTCCATGAGAAAATCCTCAAACTCTTCATTTTTTATGTATGTTTAGCGATAATGCTTTACCACCTTGTCCGATTTATATGATTATTTTTTTGGTAGTAATGGGATGCCTCAGGGGAAGTCCCATATAAATTTGGTTAAGATGTGGTGATGGCATCTGCACGTTTTTGAAGTCGGTTTGTTTAAATTTTTAATTTCTAATACTTGTACTTGTAAATTTGAGCAATAAAAACTAAGAATCACAAAATAGTATAAAGAAAAAGGGAAGTAATTATTACTTACTATTGCTCGTGGTATTTCTGAAAGGGTGGAAACAGTTCGAATACTCCTTCTTAGGTCCTCTTCAAATAAATTAAGGGCGTGTTCCAAATTGTTGTTCCCATGTGGTCTCCCTTGTCCACGATCACGTTGAAATGAACCATGGTCAACCAAATTTCTATGTGTATTAATAAATACACGGTAGTCAGGAAGTCTTCGGTTAGGAAACCGTCTACGGTATGCTCGAACCGCTGCTCTTGCCCTTCCATTACACAAACCATATACAAAATGAATATCTGCCAATTCTCTATTTGAAAATCTCTCCATTTATTAGAAGTATTTTTTTTACGCAAAAATAGTACAAATAATTACACAACTGACAGACAATTTTTGTTTATCACAGTGTCTCAAAAAATTGAAAAGCAGCTATTGGATTCCAGGCCTACTAATTTTTGTTTGCACTTTCGAATAAGATAATATGAATTATCATGAAATTTTCAAATGCGTTTCTCTTGAAAATGGTGCGTCCTAGCGAGATGCAGCAAGAGTAGCTTTACTGTAAAGAAAACATTGGGTTTCCAAATTTTTTAGTCAAAAATGTTAAAAACTGACAACAAAAAATTTTACCTTAAGCCCCCCCTAATTTACCCATCTATGAAGTTGATCAAAAACTAAGATTTAGTCCTTTACATAGAGCGTAAAAAGTTAAGCATTTGTACCAAATTTCATTTAGTTATCTTTAAACGTTTAGAAAATATTTACAAAAATGTGTCATCAGGACTTCACTTCTAACACCCTGTATCTCGAAAAAGAAACGTTTTCGGACCTTTGTTTATATAAACTTTTACTCCTATTTTAGGATGTAGATTACGCTGTTAGAATATGACCGTCTAATTTCGGGACACCCTGTATATTTTTCTTCTTTTAAATAAATTTAATAAACAAAGAACTGCAGATTTTGTTTATTTTATTTTGAAATTATATTTAAAAAAATATAATAAATTCGCGTATTTCAATTAGGATTGGTCAAAGTGGGCAAAATCCCTTTATTATGGCTAAATTGTAAGTTACAATTATGTCAATATAAAGATGTTTTGCCCATTCATATTTACATTTATTGAATGAATCATACTGGAGTTGATTTTGGAAATATTGGTGCATACTTAAATAAGTACTATTTCTAAAAATTCGTCTATGCACACATAGTCCAATGGACGTCCACTTTAGATCTATTTGAGGGTCAGGACGTCCATATCCGGGCATCCAGTGGACGTCCGTTTATGCTAATTAAATTGACAGCTAAATATCGATACCCAGAGAACGTCTGTTTTTGGACTTAATTTTACGTTCAGTAGTATTTTGACGTCCAGTGGACGTCCATCTTAGGTCATTATTTATTAAGCCTACCAGATAATACCCATGTATATGTACTTCTTTTTTTAATACAACTGGTCATTAAAAATTGACAAATTGAATCTATTGCATTTCATTCTATCAGCGAAAGTTTGAAATCTTATTCAATTATAACTGTATCTAGTAAAAAGTTTTCAAGTGGTTCCTTGGTCGAGCTCGTCTAGCGATTGAAAGTGTAAAACGATAATGGATGTGTCGTGAGTTCGATTCCTGCTCAGGTCAAGCGATTTTTAATAAAAAATAAATAAATGATGTATAGTGATTTGCGAAAATAATAAACAAATTATTAATAATATAAAATAGTGTGTTGTGAGTTGCGGTTCTGTAAAAAAGTGGGGATGTGGTCTCAATGGAAATATAATCCTGGATGTTTTCTGAATGTCCAGTATTCGACGTCCAAATATATTCCAGAATTGGACGTCCTCTGAATGGTCAAAAGTGTGCCATTTGTATACTTCACTGGACGTCCATTGGATGTCGAAAGTCCAGAAAACTCATGTTTGGACGTCTAGACATCCAAAATTGTATATCGAATGGACGTCCAATGGACATATTTGTATTGTCTAGGTGATACCAGGCCAGGTATTTAACTTTAAATACATAAATCTTGAAAGACATCTGGTTTAACTTGGCAAGAAAACACTTGTTTCTACAGAAATGAGTGATAAACTTGAAAGTCCTTTTAATATAATATAAATCTAGAAATTCTAAAAATATGTAAGTACTTTTTAAACCTAAAAGCTTTGAAAATATATGCACATTGCAAATATTTAGTTAAACCTCTTAAATTTAATGTCTTTTTAATTGTTACCTAATTTTTTTTTGACACCCTTAATTTTATTTACCTTATTTTAAATTAAGGAAAAGGTAATTTAATTTAAATTTGGGGCTTTTATTACATTTTTAACAATAAATAAACCAAATATTGAACAAATTTTATAGATAAATTATAAAATAATAATTGTCTTTTACTTTTATAATAAATAATTAATTATTACATAATGAATTATATTTTGGTGCCAAAATTTCAGCATTGCTATTAACCCTAACTACTTTAATGTAATTAAATCACATTGCAACATTTGCGCATGGACTATAACAATAAATTCAGATAATTTGCCAAACTATTTCGCTCAGTGTAGAAAATAAGCATGTTTTCTCAGCGTGCTGAGTTGTGTATCAGTCAAAGTCATACTCTGGAAAAGGTACATCCGATATCAAAGGCACCGACAGCTACTGTCGCTTCTCCTTGATCAGTTAGAGAGTTGAAGTGAAGCTATGAACGTAAATGAATACGTGAAAACTGACATCTGCGCATGCGTCTTCAAATATTCCTTACGTTCACGTCTACGTACATACGTAAGCTTACGGGATCTGGCGTATGCATGTAACGCAAATAAAATAACCTCTTTTTAATTGGGAAAGAAGAAATCCTAATATTAATTGTCTTTATCTGTCATGACACGTAAATGTCACGATGCGTTTAACAACTTCAACTCATATTTTGGTCAACGTAAACATTATTTTTCTGCGTTGATGTTCACGTTTACGTTAACGTACCGGAAACACTTCAACTCTCTATTCTCGGATTTGAATCTTGCACAAACGGAATTTCCTACGTGTGATTTTTCACCCTATGGTAGTTGAATTTAATTTTATTTAGACCCATCCAAGACACTTAGCATATAAGTAACTTCCATTTTTAGCTATAACTACTTAATTTTTAAACAACATCTTCAAAAAACCATATTTTCAATTTAAAATGACCAATAAATGTATATAAATGATTATATATATTATATGGCGGTAAACTGCTAGCGATCAATTGCTGACGATCAATTTTCCGGATCCCGCCGATAGTTGTACTTCCAGCTAATTGTCTAACGTTATTTTTGTATTTGTAGATAACTTTCAACGAAGCAGTCGAATTCTGCAAGAACAATAATCTACAATTGGTATCTATAGAAAGTGCGGCTGAAAATGACAAAATATCCGAACAGTTGAGGTCTATGGGCAGTAAGTAACTATTTAGTTATATATTTTAAAATGTAGACATGTCAAAATATATTTGACAAGTACTTTCTCATCAATTATTAATCTGTGACGTTATGGCTCACCTATTTTCGGTTTTCCTAGAAATAAATCCATTATATAGCATTAAACAATTTTAATTTTTTTGAATACTTTGGGATAAGAAGTAAAAGTAGAACAATTTTATTTTAAATTAATATATGTCATTTATCAAAATCTTTGACTAATGTTCAGGCTCTTTAACTATTTACCATTTTTTGTTTTGTTAGAATGCTTAGGTAAACTGTTTTTCTGTAAAGAAAACTTGTATTTCGTGAAAAACTTTTTTATTTAAAAAAAAACTGAAATTTTAAAATTTCTTCCTGCAATCAAATGTTTTTTTTAACTACCCAACGAGCTGACAACGGTTTATTGTTTATTCGTTAGCTGCAAACGGCAATTATTTGGTTGTTGCATAATTAATTGCAAAAACATACCATTTATTTTAAGATTATTTAATAATATAAATACATAAAATTAATTTATTATTGTCGCACAATAAGAAGATCTCTGGACGACTAATTAATTCCTGTATGCACCGCCTAAAGTAGTCGTAACCTTAATTATTGCACAATACAGGGTGTCCATCTATAAATTGACACATTTTAACAACTTATAACCCGAAAACGGAAAAATATATCGAGGTGCAGTTTTCACTAGACCTTTTACATTTACTTCAAGTTTTTCTTGACATTGTTATCACATGTAATTTTTTTCTGGAAAGTGCCGAAAAAAAAACGAACTTTTTTGAATCAAAATTGTTAGCTTATTTTAAATAGAACACCCTATAATTTTTAACATTCTCGGAAAGACCATTTCTTTCCCTTTCCAAAAATGTATTCATTGTAAACATTTATTCAATTTTTTTGGGAAAAATTTACTTTTTTATGAAACCATGTCGATAACTTCTAAACGTAAAATATCACAATTTAAAAGCCTTTAACTCGATAATGTGACAATTTATTGATAAGAGGTTTTGACTAAAATTCTGGGAAATGTTTAATTTTTTTATAAAATGGTTGTAAAGTCTCAGATGTCTAAAATTTTCGTATAAGATTACTTTTACCAATTCAGATTAAGGGCTTATGATGAATAAAATTCTTCGTATTTGTAACGTTTATTTGCAAGCCTTTATCCATAAATCATCATTTAAAAGAATGTCTTAAGCGTTTTCAATATGTACCTATATCTGTTTTTTTTTGTCTATTTAATATTCCTCTTTTTGTAAATTAACTTACTCAGCTTTGGATAGAATATGAATGAGTCAATAAATGATACTACTAATTTATCAATGGTGCTATGTAAAACAAATCGAGTTGACAGAATATTTGTATTAATTAGTGCAAGAGAAAGCAGGTATTAAAAAATGTTTACCAAAAGTGAAAAAGCCCGGTGCGTTTTACTTTATATTGAAATTAGATAAATTACATACACAAAGAAGATTTAGAAATATGTTTGAAAAAAATTCGCCAACCAGAAATTCTATTTTAAGCTGGGTAAGTCAGTTTAAAGAAACGGGAACATTAGATAGAAAAAAAAGACAAATTGAAAACGCTCAAGATATTATTTTAAATGATGTTATACAGATAAGGGAAATTTTAGGAAGAAACAATAATAAAATATCTATTAGAAAAATTGCCAAATCCATACATATGTCAAAGAGTAAGGTGCATAAAATTTTAAAAGTAATCAAGTTTAAAGCATATAAGGTTCAGACTTTTCATAAAATTGAAAATCATGCATTTGAAAAGAGAGTTTTTATGTGTGAGACGTTATTAGATTTATTTGGACATCAACCAAATGTAAATCTAATAATGTCAGATGAAGCAACGTTTCATTTAAGTGGACGCGTGAACAAACACAATTGTAGGATTTGGGGTGACGAAAATCCTAGAGCTTTCAACGAGTTTGAAAGAGATGCTCCCAAGGTAAATGTATGATGTGATGTGTCCAAAACCAAAATTTATGGACCATTTTTCTTTCAAGAAGAAACAGTATATAGAAACAATTACACGGATATGCTAGAACTATTCTTTTATCCTCAACTAGAACAAGAAGAAATACTAAATACTGTATATTTCCAGCAAGATGGTGCTCCACCGCATTACTCTCTTGTAGCCAGGAATTCTTTGAACTCAACCTTTGGAGATAAATGGATAGGTCCCATAGAATGGGCTCCATATTCTCCGGATTTAACTATACCAGATTTTTTTATATATGGGTATGTTAAGGAAAGATGCTACGATCCAACACCTACAAACTTAACTGAACTAAGGAATAATATAATTCATGTGTTTAATACAATTACCCCAGAAATGCATTTACAAATTTTTTAATGCGTCTGCATACATGTATTGAACAAAATAAAGGCCATATTCAACAATTAATTTATTATTGTTTTAGTACATATTTTTTGTATTCAATAAAAATTCAGATAGGTACCAACATGGTGGGACACCACTTACGCCACAAAAATCCGTGTAGTATGAGGTGTTCCCATCTGTCTTTATAAGTAAAATATCATTACTTGATATTATTCTGAAATTTATACCTAAGGGACAAGGCAATGAAAAACAGTATTATCAATGATCGTTCGATGTAATACGTCAATTTATATTTCGATATGTGCCACCAAAATGTAATAGACACCGTTAACATTGATACAATTACCTAAAATTAAAACCTATTAAAGCAATAAAAAATTATAAAAAGACCTTAATATGACCTTAATCTGAATTTAATTTTTTTTTACGAAAACTTTACAAGTTTAAGATTTGGCAATTATGTCAGAAAAAAATTTAAACATTTCCAAGATTTTTGGTGAAAACCTTTTATCAATACATTGCCTTACTCCCAAATTATAAGTTAATTAATTGTGATACTTTACGTTTGGAAGTTATTGACATGGTTGCATAAAAAAGTGAATGTTTCCCTAAAAAATAAAGTAAATGCTTACAATGTATACATTTTTGGAAAGGGGAAGAAATAGTCTTTCCGAGGATGTTAAAAATTATAGGGTGTTCTATTTAAAATAAGCTCACAATTTTGGTTCAAAAAAGTTCGTTTTTTTTTCGGCTTTTTCCAGAAAAAAATTACATGTGGCAACAATGTCAAGAAAAATTTGAAGTATATGCATGGGCGTCGTTACACAATTCTATAGGGAGGGGCAAAATTTTGAAAAAATTTAGTATGTTTATTTATTGAAAAACAAACAAAATGAAACATAAAAGAGAATTTTCTTATGATGGATTTAATTATTCTGTGACGTCATGGCTTACTTCCGGTTTTTCCAGAAATAACAGAAAATCGCAATTTATTTTTTATTTTTAAATGAAAACCCTTTTTCTTATTGAAAATTTGAATTTCTGGTACATTTTTGTATAAGAAGCGTGTATTGAAAATTTTTTCAGTACCATATTAAAAAAAATATGTTCCAATATGATGATCATTTTGACAGCTGACAAAAAATTTTCAACACATGATTCTTATCCATAAATGTCCCTAAAATTTAACTGTTCAATAAAAACGGGGGTTTCTATTTAAAAATTAAAAATAAATTGAGATTTTGTTATTTCTGATGAAACAGAAGTAAGCCATGATGTCACACACCAATTGAATCCAGTATATGAGAGTATTTGTCCCAAACTTTTAAACAAATAAGTTTTCATTCCAGTATCTCAATTAACAACGAAGATAAAAGCGGATAGAATTATTAAACGGTTTGCTAATAATAAAAATGCTTAGATACGCCACTAGTATACGATAAATGGGTCTCAATGGGAATTTTGAAGCCTAAAAAGATTTTATAAAGTTCGTATATTCCTATATGTTTTTCCATAAACGAATTAATAGTAACATATTTAGAAAAAATATTATCCAATATGGCGACCATTTTGACAGCTGACAGAAAATTGTCAATAAACGATTATTATACAAAAATGTCCCAGAAATTTAAATTTGCAATAAAAAAGAGGGTTTCCTTTTAAAAATAAAAAAAAATCTGTTATTTCCGGAAAAATCGGAAGTAAGCCATGACGTCACAAAACAATTGAATCCATCATAAGAAAGTCTTTCAAACAGTACAAAATTAATCCGATATCTCACTGAATAGCGAAGCTAAGGGGGAGTGGAACTGTAGTAGTAACGCTCACAATGTCACTGACCTATTTGACAGAACTGATACTTAAGTTGTCATAACAAGTCTCTAATAAATAAAATAATCCAACAAAAAAAGACAAAATAAAAGTGTATGGATTTATAAAACAAGTGAAAAAATTATTAATATTATTATTATTATATATTTTTATTACTTGAGCTAAAAAAAAATAGTATAATCAATAAAAATCAATAATTAAACATAGGTAGGTCATGGGCGAAGTTAAGGGGGGGCTTGGGGGGGCTAAGCCCCCCCAAAAACCAAATTAGCCCCCCCAAAAATAATTAGAACATTTATCGCACATCCACCCATACATTTCAGATTTCAGAACAGAAATTAAAAAATAAAATAAATTGATTCTGCAATTTTACATTTAGTTCAGGAGGCAGTGAATTTTTTTCGTATTCATTTTTTCAGTCGGTGTATATGAAAATAAACTGTTCTCTTAGTGACAAAAACAAAATTGTTAAGTTTGACACTTATTTTCCCAGTCATAATTATTTTACATTTACTAAACTAAAACATAAAGCTTATAAAAATAGCACTTTGGATTATCTTAGATAGTGGAAAGTCAGTGTGGCAGAAAATTAAGCATATAAAATTGATACAATCATGAATAATAATAAGTCTATCTGATTTACGAAATTGGCTAATGAGTCTGGTAACATCTTCTAAATCGAAAAAATATAATATCTTTACTTTTATTTTCCCGGGTTTGAAAATTTGTCACGTGATAGATTAAATTATAATTTTACACCTCTATTTTATAGCCAATCAAATGCTGTTATTT